AGCACAAAACCGGCCGGGAAAGCCCCCCCCCCCCCGGCGCCTTTTATTCACTGAAACCCAGCCTGAAATACTGTGGTTGCCTAGCAACAGCCACTGAGGGAATCCCTTGCGTAAAAACTACAGGTGCTCCTTTTATCATTTTTGGATTTTTTTAAGCCCCCAATGTTGTTGTTGGGGTTTTTTAGACTTCACCTTTGTCTGCAAACCTGGGGCTCTTTTCAGGTTTGTAGAAAGACCTGTCTTGCCCGTTCACAGGTCCAGTCACTAGATTTAAGCATCCAAAAATTTCCCAACTTCACTATTAGAATATAAGATTAATTAAGAGCAAGTTATGTCAGAATAAGAAGGTGAAACTTCTGTGAAAACAAAAGTCACATAACTGAGCAGGTTTGTAGCTATACAAACTCCTCAGCTGAGGAAAGGGGACAGGGTGTTGGGAAAGGGACTGCAAATGAAATAATTTCTTTCCCTATTTTAAAATGCATAGGTATTTTTTCCCTGTGTTTTTATTGGTATTCAGAGGACTTGGGTTGAAAAAGCAAGATAAAGTGTGCAGGAGTACATAAGTAACATGGTGAATATGTAAATAAACACAACATAAGAGACTGTGGAGTGTATTTATTCCATACTCGGTAAGCTTTAAGTTATCATTTCTAAGATGTTTACTGCAGAATGCAAAATTTAATCTCCTTAACCTTTCTCTTATACTGTTTTTAAATTCTGTCATGATTGGTAAGGATAAGTAATTTTTTAAAGGATTTTGAAGATTTAGAGGTTTGTTGGAGAAGTGAGGGATGCAAGACGATGCAGAGGGAAGAAGGACTAAAGGAAGGAGGGGCCAGATTGCCCCCTGTGCACTGCGCCTCCTTTCCCAGCCATAACATGCTTCATCCATGGATCCCACAACCAAGAAGACTGGAAACTTGGGGGGGAAACCCGAATTAAAAAGAGAGACTTGCAGCAGTTCAAAATCCCCACCAAATGATTGTGTGTGTGTGTGCGTGTGCATGTGCGTGCAACTGCAGACCAGCAGCAGTGCTGGAAGTTCTAGGGAGGTTCAGATCTCTGTTCGGAACTGCAGTGTTGTGTCTGCCATTTTCCTCTTATAATCTTCATCAAATTTCTCATTCTGAGCTACAGTGAAGTAATTCTTCCAGTCACCAGCAATTCCTAGTAGAAGATGAAAGGTTATCAATCAGACAAATGGACTCTCTAGAAGGACTTTTTAAAAACGGGATTGCAAGCTTGATCAGTATACACATTTTATATTTAGTTGATTAACCATTTTGGTGACCACATGTTTATTTTATCTGGGATATTTTACGCCTGATGTGTCACTGTAATTTGGAACAAAATAGCCATTAAACCTTCCACCAATCTGAATAAGCAGCTGTACTGAGATTTTGATGCTAAGCACATTTTGTGTAAAAGACAGATGATTAATGAACTAATATGCTTTAATCAGTTGACAACCCAATTTTTTTTAAAAAACCCAATGAAGAACGGCCAGGGAGAACTGAGCAAGTCTACCTTTGCGCATGAATGGGGAGATGCTTTGATCCATCACAGCAGCTGGTGCCATCCTGTAGTTTGTAGCAGGATTGTCCTTCATCATATCAAAGGAAGTATTGCAGACAATCTTGTCCACAACTGAGTCTGGCAGGTCCTTTCCCAAAAAATGCACGACCTTCTTAATCTCACGCTTCAGATCCTACGGAAAGGATATTACAATGACATCAGTATAGTTTAGCCAGCCCCGTAGCCAGAAATTTTGGGTTGGTGGGCCATGGGGGGAGCGGCGCCCCCTCTTGAAAACAATTTCCAAGCAGGGACTGCCCACATAATCACCACTTGGAGTTCAGGGAAGGCATGTGGCTGCCCCTCTCCCTCCCTTTCTGTCAATCAGTGGAGGGCCCTTTTAATGTCACGGGAGGGGGAGGGAGGCAGCAGCTGCTGTGGGGCGTGCTTCGCATTTGAGGGGGCAGAGCCCCGAAATGCCCCACCATAGCTACAGGCCTGTGTTTAGCTCAGCATAAATTACCATCTTCCCCTGTCCCATAAGGCAACAACTTTTCCTTTTTGCCAAGTTTTGCTGTCTACATAGAAGCCAAAATAAAGAGGTTTCCATGGACTCTGTGCTGGGTCTGATCCAGCGGGACACTCCCTAGGGGCATTCTCTAGAAGAGCCGCCTGATCATGAGACACACACAGAGAGACAGTAGCCTTCAGAGCCACCACCGCCCTCTTGCCTCTTTCATGTCCTCATAGAACAGGTACAGCAGGGGCTGGTCGTTCCTCTTCTCCCACCAGCTTGACACGTGGTCATACCAGGAGCCAAAAGCTACTAGACTTAGAAAAAATGAAACAAGATGATATAGTAAGGTTGAAAGATGGCAAACAGTAAAAGCAAAGAAATAAAATGACATGTAATGGTACAGGAGCCTGATAGCTACAGGAGCCAGCTGGGAAGTCCTCATTTCAGGTCTCCTCATAGCCTGGATCAAATAACACCCAACAAAAATACACACAATATTGAAGCAACACAAAGTCCAAATTGTTCAGCTGTGTTCAGACCCAGCTTTGTAATGGAGGCGACCATCAGCAGATCAAACCCTGAATCAGGTTTGAGCTCGGTATTTACTAATCTATCACCTTTTTAATAGAAAAGGGGTGTAGGAAAGACGGTCACGCGGTGCCACCCTGAGGGGAGCCAATCAGCACTGAACACGCTTTGCTTTTGCTTGGAATTTTCCCAGCAGCCCCCCCCCCCGCCCCGAATTCAACCCAGCTCTCACTGCTCTAAAAATGGTACATGCATCTTCATCCACTGCTAATCCAATGTATAGACCTGACCCAGTGATATACTTTCCCATTCCCCGTTCTTTCACTCGAGGAAGAAACACTCTCTGAATAATAAAGGCATGTTGCCCCAGAGAATACGACTGGGTTTCACTATGTTTCCTGTAAAAAGTGTAAAGCTCTGGTTGCGCACAATTGCGCAACTGGTGTCCAGACTCACTTTTACCCGCCATGAATTTCTCCAGGTACTCATCCCAGGTGCCGGGTTCTGGGTGCAGCTTGTTCATCAAGTCAAAATGGTAAAAGGATACAGCTACATCCTTTGCATTGCGAGCCACGTAGATTGTCTTCCTCAGAGGGGAAAAAATAATGAATCAGGTTGTTCTGGTGATTTTACATGCTAGATAAGTCCAGTCTGAGAGCTCAGCTTTTGGCACTGGGGCCCATTCAAGGTTCTGGCAACAACAACAATGAAACATTCCATGCAAGGCAACGTTCATAACCTTTCAGGTGGGGCAGCCGTGTGGGTCTGAAGCAGCAGAACACATTTAGAGTCTAGGGGGGCACCTTTAAGACCAACAAAGGTTTATTTATTTATTTTGTGTGCAGGCACACTTTTTCAAATATATTGAAATGGAAGGTAGAGTTCAAACTTATAACTGTCTATAAGTTTAAACTGTACCCTTCCTTCCAATGTATTTGAAAAAAAATTGCATGTAGACTCTAAGGGCACAATCATATGCACAAGTAGCCGTGCCATAGGTGCGAATACCAGGTGGATTTAAAGGGCACGATCAGACATGAACATCTGGGAAGCACCCTGCAGCTGAGCTCAAATAGTACTAGAGAACTGACCTGGCTTGAACACCAGAACAATGGACTACTAGGCTCCTAAAGGACTGGGAGTCCTACCTCGGCCGGTTTGGGTTCTTCTTGCAATCCTCCGGCATCAACGAGGCAGAAATGAAAAGTGCCACATTCTTCCACGTCTGTGACCGAACAACGTACGAAATCGCCCGCCCGCTCCTCACCCCAGCAGAGCTCAAGGACACAGACTACCAGACCATCATGAACCGGCTTAAGGAGCACTTCTCTCCCAAGCCATCGGTCATCACGGCCCGCCATACGTTCTACTCGAGGAACCAAACCGCAACAGAATCCATCTCAGCATTCATCACAGTGCTCCACCGTATCGCCCATCACTGCAAGTGCCATCCAGGATTGGCTAGTCTGTGGCCTACAGGAGGAGCAAATTCAGAAGAAGATCCTCGCCCAGGGTGACCCTGAGTTCAGGGAGACCATGGAGATGGCCCTCGCCACTGAGTAAGCCAAGCAATTCACTACAGAGGTCCGGCGGGGGAAGGGCCTGCCATCATGGCAAAGGCCAGCCATGGCCACCCACCACATGGACAGCCCCGAGGAAGACAAGGATGATGTACTGCGGTTCCAGCACGCCACACGCCACCTGCACCACAACGCCCATCGGCACCACCGTGCGCTGCCAACACCGCCCCATCAACCACATGCGCCAGCTGCGGTGAACCCCATGAGAGGAGATCCTGCCAGTTCCGTGATGCCACATGCAGGAACTGCGGAAAGGCTGGCCACATCGCCCAAGCCTGTCGTGCCAAGGGGAACCAGAGGCGGCCAGATGCAGTTTCCACCTCAACGCACTCCGAAAAGCTCCACACCACATCAGTCCAAGAACAACAGGTACTGCACTTTCGCGTCTGAACCCAGTATATTTCACCGCAGAAGTGGAGTAAAAAACCCCAGGGGGAGTCTGGTAGCAAACGGGTTGCTACAGGCCACGGACAGACATTCCCGTGTCTGATCACTCCAGTGTGTTCTCATGGCGTCGCGATGGTCTGATCAGGCCATCCTGACTCCGTGCCATTGTTTTTTCCCCCTTCTCAGTATGTGCATCATCGCAGACTCCATAGGGAGCCCTCAGTGCGGAGGTGTAATTCATCGATTCTTCGTTTAAGCACACTGGGAACAAACAGCAAAAAACCACGCAGTGGCGGGCTGCCCCCACAGTGTCAAAGGACTGTTTGATCGTGCAACTGTGGGCCAAATTCCTCCATAGGAAATAGCCTCACTCCCCCCCCCACATTATCCCGCATGTGTGACCGCCACCTACATTTGTTCATTACCTTTGGCAGAGAAGCCTCCTGAGTATGACAGAGAACTGTATGGAATGCTCTTGGGCCTGCATTCAGTTCACGTGGGGCGCTTGCCAGAACTTTTAGGCTTCACCCTCACCCCCTGGGAAATGAGCACACCCTAAAGCACACCAGGCATTCAACCCTGATCACCATGCCTGATCTTCTCATTCAGAAACTCCCAAGAAGCTTCTAGTGTATCCGAAGTTTCTAGGAGTATAGTTTGAAAAGCAGTGACATCATCATCATCATCATCATCATCATCATCATAGATTGGATTTATACCCCCGCCCTTCGCTACCTGAAGGAGTCTCAGAGCGGCTTACAAACTCCTTTCCCTTCCCCTTCCCACAACAGACACCCTGGGAGGGAGGTGGGGCTGAGAGAGCTGCCCTTTTAAGGACAGCTCTTGTCAGAACTATAGCTTGCCCAAGGTCATCCAGCAGCAGTGAGTGGAGGAGTGGGGAATCAAACCCGGTTCTCCCAGATTGGAGTCCGCGCACTTAACCACAACACCAAACTGGCTCTCTTAAGTCTTACTTCTTAGATATTTTTTTCAAAAACTTCTGCTTTTGGTTTTTACTTTTATTATCTGTGGTCAAACTTACAACAGATTGTCTCTCAAATTTTTTTTAACTTATTTGTATTACTCTTCCAGATAAATAAACAAAATAAAGGTAATATTCATGCTCTGGACTGGCAAAGCGGCAGCTTCTATGCCATAAACCCAAAACATGCTGGAAAAGGCACCAGAGTGGTTGCTGATGGTGGCACCATCCGAATTGCAAACAGGGAACCTGGAAGAGCCGGGAGTCTCAGCAGGGGTGGACGGGCCGTTGTGGCCACCCGGGACTTTTCCTGGTGGGCCAATGGCCGCCTCCTAGGCTCAGCCAGCCCAGTGGCAAGACAGGTGCTGCCCAGCTGCGTCAAGGCAGCAGTGAGGCTGGCCAGGCAGGCAAGGGGAGGGGGTGCCAGGGAGCAGGGCACCTCCTTGCTGCCAGCGAGTTCTCTCTCTCACTCGGGGGGGGGAGATGGGCTGGGGGACAGGGCCTTTTCCCAGGGCTTTTTTTCCCTTCCAAGTCCACCCCTGGGTCTTGGGGATCTTGTCAAACTCGCAGTTCCTTTTAGCATTTCACAGCTCTTTCACCATAGTAACCAGGAACGGGGGAATGGAAGAACGCGGAGCCAAAACACTTTCACTCCCGAGGGCTTCCACGTGCCAGGCATCTTATCTCTCCTGGGAAGTTTTAGTGGCCTTGCATCTCTTCTTTCTGTGCTGGCTTTTGTCTGACATGCCGGGGGGATGGCATGCCATCCCCCCGGCATGTCAGACAATTTGGCTGGCAGTTACATTTGGTGGGCAAAATCCCAGGGGGTGATTGGTTCTGAACATTTTGGGGCCCTCGCTTGAACTCTGTATATCTATTGCTTTCGTGCCTTTAAGCTCAGTTCTAACACAGCCAAGGTACAGGCTGGATCCTATCAATCTCTCAATAAACTTATCCTTCTTTGAAGTGAATGTTGTTGGGAACTGATTTACCCAGAGGTCTGACAGATCTCTACTATATATACAATGGACTCAAGAGCTCAGTGACCTCTTAGAGAGCACAAATGATGTAGACCTGCAATTCTAGCATATGAAGTACCTTACAAATTCCTTATTAATACTGTCCGATCAAGTACCTAGTCTCTTCAGTGCATAAGGAGAAAAATAAGAAACTGCATAATGTTTTTTTTAATATATCCCTTCTTGGAGTAGGAAACTCAAGCGAAGATTTCCACATTGTTTGGTGATGCCGGACAGCAGCTTAAGTTTCCTGGAGAAGAACTCTGAGTAGTGGACAAAGTGGGGGGAGGGGATCTCTATTGCTCAAAATATATCATGACCAGAGCAGTTGTTGTTCTGCCTGCCCCTCCGAGGGTGTGGCCTGTGTGGTGTGGAGCCTGCGGGGAGAGTAAAGGGGGATGGAAGTCAGTTGCTAACAGTTGTGGGAAAGAGAGGGAGCACAGCCAGAGCGAGAAGAGGGACAGAAAGAAACGGAAAGAAGAAGAGGAGATACGGAGAAACAGAAACAAACTAGATGGAAAGAAATTTTCTATTAGAGGGAAAGGCTAAAGCTTTCAGGACTTTTTGGTTTAGAAAAAAATATGTTAGGGATTATGACAAAGGTTTCTAAATTGTGTGTGGCATTGAGGAAGGGGACAGAGGCTGTGGTCTCACTGGCAGCTTGGCGTGATATGGCACCGCTTCTAATTGTACCCGGTTTAAAGTGTTGTAGAGCATAGCACACCCTGCTGCAGGTTACCCACGCGGACATCCTGTGGTCAAGCATCCACATTACTGCAGCGCCTCGGCCACAGAGTATGCTGCATGGTCATTTTCCAAAATGCATGTGTGCGCATGTGCACTCATGCACGTGCATATGTGCACATGCACATACAGGCAAAAATGCCAGAAAACCCCCCAAACCCTAGCCAATCCATTCTGTGCATGCTCCCACATCTTCAGACATCCAGTCACACGCGATGAATGCACAGGGAACCAAAAACACTTGTGGTGCTTTTTTAACCCAGCCCCAAGTCATCCTAGAACGGGGTGTGTATGCTTGGGGAATGCCTGGCAGATGTGGCTGTGTGATTGCGCCCATTTGATCTGGAAGGGAGGGGTGGCTATGTCGAACTAAACTGCTTGTGTGATGATACCCAGAGAGGACTTTTTTCTTTCCCCATAAAATAAGAACAGAGTCACCCAATTAAGCTTATGGTCAGTATAGTCAGGATAGAAAAACTGAAGAAAGTCATCACACAACACACAGTTAATACACAGAATTTGCTGCCTGCCAAAAGAAGCAGTAAAGGAAACTATCTCAGATGGCTTTAGAAAGGGACTGGACCAATGCATCCGGGACAAGTGCGGGCAAAGGAGACCTCTGTGTTCAGAGGCAGCCTCCTGCTGAGAACCGCTTGCTCAGGATCGACATCTGGGGAGACCTCTTGTCCTCCTGTCCTGCTTGGGGGCTTCCTGGGAACATCCAGTTGTCCGTGGTAGAAAAGAGGACCCTGCAGCACGAGGAGCACGAGATCTGGCCTTGGCCGAGTTTGGCAGTGAGAGATCATTAACATTTGTCGAGTAATCTGGAGTTTTAGTGTTGGATTCATCAATGTTCTGTTTTTTCTTGTTAATTGTTAATCGTAATTGCCTTCACATGATAATTAAATATTTTCAAGCACCCATCACAGTGCTTGCTGGCCCGTCCCTTCCGTGTGTGACTCTGAGGACCGGAGTGTCCCGTTGTCCTTACAAAGGCGCTCTGGGCAGTCAGATGGCTCCTCTCAGAGACTCGCCTTAAAAGCCCAGCAGCCGCCAGCAGCACCTCAGCAATAACCAGACAGCACCTCAGTTGGCCAATGATAAGGTGAGCCCCCTTCCTCGGCTCAGCCTTGGGGGGGTGGGGGTGGCACCCATGGGGGCTTTGAAAGATGGGCTGGGGAGGACAGACAGTCGTGGCAATTTCCACTCTCTCAGGTGAGGGTCAGTGAGAAATAGTCTTGATCCTTTTGAAGTTCAGGGATTCTCTAAAGTCGAACAAGCCAAGTAAGGCTTCTCACCACATACATACAGATATCCAGGACTTTTTCTTTTTTTTTAAGGTGCCAGTACTTTATATATGTCTGGACCAGTTTCCACTGATTCCCCTCAAAAGGTGCTGGTGCTCAGTACCAACCGCATGTGACCACAAATAAAGCCTGCTCAACAATCTGCGACTATTTCCTTCCTGGAGGATGACATTATCAGAAAACAAAACAGTGCGAAGGAGCTACAAAAGCCAAATAAACCGATGCATTTATTTCATAAGACATTTACACCTCGTACCCTTAATCAATACCCAAAGTTTGCAACTAGCAACCTTGGAGCCATCTCCCCCCCCCCTTTGCCAACCATGGAAGGAAAAGAGTTAAACTGGCAAGCAGGAGGTGTGGCAACGGGACATGACAGCAGGGGAGGGGAGGGGAGCTTTGGCCTGCCACCCCAACCCACCCCCACCTGGTTAGAATAGTCCTGGAGGGAGGGGGGGAGGGAGGCTACGGCCTTGCAAATCCGGACCCCTGAGACCATTACCTTGCATTTATTGTCCCAGCAGGACTTGGGCAGTAGGTTTACTGGGAGGTGGGTCTTCACCACTCGAGGAGACGGCATCGAAGCTAATTGTTCTGTGCCTGGTAAGCAAATTGATGCTTAGTTATTAATTAAGTTGTTGTCAGCAAACAAGCTTGCAGGTTGAAATGATGAGCAGAAGAACATGAGATGGAATTTCGCCAGTGTGGCACCAGCCAGTCACATGGGGGGGGGGGGCTTTTTGAACCCGTGAGCACCTTTGGAGTCCTCGCACAGCACTTGGGGCTCAGCCACACCAGGAAAGCCCCATGGAAGTCCTGTGGGGCAAAAGCCCCACCTGGCCCCGCCCACTTCCCAAAAACACCAGGGCAGGTGAGAGCGGCCGTTGTGGTGCACGCGGACACCGTGCTGTGGACCCCTGAGCCGCATCACCCAAGGAAGCATTCTTGCAGCCGGGGCAGGGCGGGTGATTCCCCCGGCCTCTGCAGAAGCTTCTAGACTGGGCTTGCTTGTGGGTCTGCAGAAGCAGTGGGCCAGCAGCTACAGAAAGCCTTTAGCGCCACAGGGGAAGGTGGGGTCAGAAACCAGAAGTCCTGGTTTGCACTGTGATGTTGTTGCTGAGAGTTGCAGTTGGGGGGGGGGGGGGGGAAGGTACTCTTTGGATGGCTCCGTACCCTTGTTTTCAGCAGACCCAACTCACCTATTTTTCGCTTTCAATGTTTCAGATTTTACAAAACGAAAAAGAAAAATGAACTATGTTGATTACAATGTCGGACATTCGCAATTTAACAGCAGAAGAAATCTGATTATAAGGTAAATATTTTAGTACTGTATGTAGTTTGGACTTCAGGCTTGCACAGCCTTGGAAATAACTCGGAAGATGTTACAGCCTTCAGGACTGATTACCACATCACACATCAGTCACTAAAGACCTCGCAGGGGTGGGGTGGGGTGGGGTGGGGGAATTCTCTTTTACAGAACGTCTCCTAATCATTCTGCATGCCATTTTTATTTGCCCCTGGCAGGCCGGCCACCAGTCTCTTCACAAGGGGTCACTCTGAATCCTGTCTCAGTTTATGCCTCTGCAATTTCTTCTTTGGCAGTCTGCAGGGGTGACTGACAGTTGTGCTACTTAAAGGCACAAAACAGTCGGATTTGTGCGAGGGGGTAAACTTCCAGACTGGGAAGAGAGGCACAGAGAGGCCTCTTTGCCAAGGATCAAGCAAGCAAGTCTACAGGCCATTTATCTGCAAGCTGAAGCGCCTGCTGCCTCCTGAGAACGGAGCGATTCCTCCTGAATCTCTGCAATGCAAGTCACTCAGGGATCCTTCTGACGCTTACCTGATGGCATCTTCCCAGGGGCAGCAAATTCCAGCATAGGGACTTTATTGAAAATGGCATCTCGCTTGCATTTCTCAGCATCACCATCGTGCAGAATCATGTCCACAATTTCACACATCCATGTGGTGCCTGGAAGCCAGAAAACCACGTTAGGCTGTCTCTTCCAACAAGCAGTAAAAGGTTCTTGCTCATCTGGGCAAAATATTGCCTGTCGGACTTTCTCCATGCTGGACACATGACTTCCTCTGTTTGGAGGCCCACAGAGGGCTGCGAAGGGCAGGGGTGACCACGTGGATTTCTGAGGCCCCCACCAGGCCTGGGGTGTCCTGGGAGAGGGTGGGCCCTCCAGTAGATCCTGATCTGGGCGCCCACTAGGGGGCTTTGTAGTGCCCTACGCTTAGGGTTGCCAGCTCCGGGTTGGGAAATGCTTGGAGAGTGCTGCTGGGCCCTCCTGGGGAGGAGAGGGACCTCAGCAGGGTGTCGTGCCGTGACCAGAGCCCACCCTCCAGAGCAGCTGTTTTCTCCCATTGGGCTCCTCCCTCAGACTCCGCTCCCCCCACAGGCATCACCTCCCAAGTGCCCAGGAATTTCACAAGCTGGCTTTGGCAGCCCTGCCTGGAGCACCCGCCTGCCGGGGTCCGGACCACTGTCGTCTGGAAAGCCATTCCAGGCGGCCAGCCGTGTGGGTCTGAAGCAGGAAAACAAATCTAGAGTCCCGTCGGGCACCTTTAAGACCAGCAAAGGTTTAATCAAGGTAGGAGCTTTCGTGTGCAGGCACACATTTTCAAATACACGGGATTGGGAGGTAGGGTTCAAATTTGTAGTCAGGCTGAACAACAAATTTACATGTAACATGATATTTTAAGTTATGCAAAAACAACAGTAAATAACAAGTAAGGTTATAAGGTCAACTGTTGCTTACAGACATCCAAGCAATAAATATGTCAAAACGGGGGATAAGTGTGGAAAGGCATCTTTTCTAATTGTGGGAAGTAAATTGAGATTCATCATTCATCATCTCTCAGGTGTGAACAGCATTTTTAAAAAACAGATGTTGTAGTATGTCAGCAAAACATCCCAATATTCCTTGCTTTACACCGTTTTCTTCAGGGAAACTGTACCAAACACTCCATAAATCTAAGCAGCAACCGCAATCCAGTATTCTAATATACTATTCTGAAAAAGAAATACACTAAGGATGCATAAACCTTCTTGCTGAGAATACATATGTGAGGACTGAATGAGTTAGCATATGAGATAAGAAACCAATATCCTTGTTGAGTCCTGGGGAGGTCTTTGTTCCACGTGTTGTAATTAACCTGTAATTCAGCGATTTCCCTTTCCAGTCTGTTCCTGAAGTTCCTTTGTAATAAAACAGCTACTTTGAGGTCACTCATTGAATGTCCTGGGCGGCTGAAGTGTTCTCCTACAGGTGTCTCAGTCTTGTGATTCCTGATGTCAGATTTGTGTCCATTTATCCTCTGGCATATCCTGTTTGCCCTAGAACCAAAGGGGATTGTGGGCATTTAATGGCATATATAATGTTAGAAGATGAGCAAGTGAATGAGCCTCTGATGGAGTAGATGATGTTGTTAGATCCAGTGATTGTGTTGTCTGGGTGTATCTCGCAGCAAGCTCTGGTCCATGTTCAAATTTGATGTTGTATTATTGTGGGTGAGGAATTGTTTGAGACAGGGGGGTTGTCTGTGCATAAGAAAAGGTTTGGCCCCCAGTACTTGTGAAAGAGAACTGTCATCATCCAGCAGAGGCTGTGAGTCACTGATGCGGCGTTGAGCTGTTTTGAGCTGAGAGATGTTTGTGACCCCTAGAGGCGTTTTATTATTGTCTCTTTTGCGCCTGTCTTGTAAAAGGTTTTCTCTGAGTATCATTCCGGCTTTGTTAATCTGCTAATCTGTTTCCTGACTTCATCAGGTGAATACCTTAGTTCCAAAAAGGTGTATACAATGGATTGTTTGGTATGTATAGGATGGTAGCTGGAGGCATTGTCAGACTCCTGGGCAAGTTATTCTCAACCACACTGTCTTTGGCAGTGAAAGGCTTTAATCAGATAGAAACAAATTCCAGGACTTAATGATTGTTATGTAGTGGGTTGCCACATGGATAAACGACAGACGATGACGTAGTGCATAGCACGCTTTATTAGGTACACAACAAGAACAGGGAACAAACGGCCGGCAGGCCAACTATATACACAACCAGGGGACCACCCCTGGGTCCCATTGGCGGGTTTGAATCTCCCGCCACGGTCCCATTGGTTCCCCCAGTGGAGGGACTAGGATCCTAGTCCCCATTGTTGTCCTGGGCTGAAGCTCAGGCATGTGTGCTGACCTCTGGTGGCGGTCAGTGGACACAACATCCCTCCCCCCATAGTCCGGACCCTCCCCTAGGTGACATAGTCTTTGAGGTATGCTGGGGGTCGTAGTCTTTGAGGTATGCTGGGGGCCGTCGTATCCTCGCGGGTCTTCTGGGGGTCTGAGCTGGTACCTCCGGGGTTACGACCTCCGGGCCTGAATTCGGAAGCGGGGCCGGGGTCTCCACTGCAGCCGCTTCTGGTTCTGGGGTTACGTCCGCGGCTGTCGGGGGCTGGCAATTCTGGAGTGGGTGCTCTGGTGCAGGCAGAGCCTTGGTAGGATCCTCTTCTTGGCCTGCCTGCTGTCTCGGTACTTCCTCGGGTGAGTGGTCGGGAAGCATTCACTGCCTGAGCTGGTCGATATGCCTCCTAAGGACCTGCCCGCATTCTGTGGACACCTCATACATGACGGTGCCCGTGGGTCGGATGATGCAGCCCGCGAGCCACTCCGGACCTCTGCCAAAGTTCCGGGCAAAGACGGGTTCCTCAGGGAAGAACCCGCGCGGCGCTTCCCTCTGCTCGGTGGACTTCCGCTGGTCCGGGGCCCGGTCAGGGTGCAAGCGGTCTAACAAGATCGTAGGCCTCCGGCCCATCAACAACTCGGCGGGGCAGCAGCCGCTTACCGGGTTGAGCGTTGTCCACTGTGCTAGGAGGAACCGGGCGATGCGGAATTCCCAGTCCTCTTCCGAGAGGCGGCTGAGGGCCTCCTTCGCGGTCCAGACCATGCGCTCCGCTTGTCCGTTGGTCGCTGGGTGGAAGGGTGCCGTCCTGATGTGCTGGATCAGGTTGCTGCTGAGGAATTGCTGGAATTCCTCCGAAGTAAACGCCGTCCCGTTGTCCGATACCACAGTGTCTGGCAGGCCATGGATAGCGAAGATCCGTCGGAGGGCGCGGATGGTTGCTTTAGAAGACGTTGCGGAGACTAGGCTGATCTCCAACCACTTGGTGTAGGAATCCACCGTCACCAAGAACAACAGTCCATGGAAGGGTCCGGCAAAGTCTATGTGGAGCCGAGACCACGGGGTGCGGGTGGATTCCCACGAGTGGTGTGGTGCCCCTGGTGGGCTGGGTCGCACGGCTTGGCAGGCTTGGCACCTCTTAACCCAAGCTTCGATCTCTGCGTTGATGCCAGGCCACCAGACGTAGCTTCTGGCGAGGCCCTTCATCCTCACGATGCCCGGGTGGGCCTCGTGCAGGGCCCGCAGGACTCTTTGGCGCAGTGCGCTGGGGACCACGACCCGGTCCCCCCACAGCAGGCAGCCTTTGTGCGCCGACAGTTCGTCCCTGCGGCCCTTGAATGCGGCAAACTCCGGCCCTTCTACCTTCGCAGGCCATCCCCTCACCACCCAGCTCAGCACCCAGGATAAAATGGGGTCACAGGCCGAGCGTCGGGCGACGTCAGCTGCCTGGAGAGGAGCGTCTGGGAGGTCCTCCACCTGGAGGATCTGGTGAACCGGAGCCGGGTCCTCCACGACGTCCGGAAGAGGGAGGCGGCTCAGGGCATCTGCGTGGCCCATGGCTTTCCCCGGCCGGTGCTCTATATGGTAATCATAGGCCGCCAAGAATATGGTCCATCTCAGGACGCGCGGGGAGATGACTTGCGGCATTCTGCGGTCGGGCGCGAACAGGCCGAGGAGCGGGCGGTGGTCGGTAACGATCGTGAAGGGCCAGCCGTAGATGAAGTCGTGGAACTTCTTGACCCCGGCCACGATGGCAAGTCCCTCGCGATCTATCTGGGCGTAGTTCCGCTCAGCCGCAGATAGAGTGCGCGAGTAATACGCGACCGGGACTTCGTGGCCGTCCTGTAGACGATGCACCAGGACAGCCCCGACGCCGTAGGGTGATGCGTCGCAGGCCAGGATCACCGGCAGCGACTCGTCAAAATGGGCCAGGACCGCATTGGAAATCAAAAGTTCCTTAATGTTCCTGAACGCGGTGGCCTGCCGGGGCCCCCATACCCAAGGGGCCTGTTTGTCCAGCAACCGGTGGAGGGGTTCCGCTACCGCCGCCTTGTGGGGCAGAAAGGCGTGGTAGAAATTCAGGATCCCCAGGAACACCTGCAGTTCTACCTTTGATTTCGGCGGGGGTGCTTCCACTATTGCCTTCACCTTCTCCCGGGTTGGGTGGAGGCCCTCTGCGTCCACCGTGAACCCCAAAAAGTCCACTGACGACACCCCAAGGTGGCACTTATCCAATTTCACCTTCAGCCGAGCGTCCTGGAAACGGCTGAGCACGGCGCAGAGGCGAGCGGCGAAGTCGGCGGGCGTGGCGGCGGCGATCAACACATCGTCGAAGAAGGGGGTGACGCCGGGGATCCCTTTCAGAAGAGAGTCCATGAGTTGTTGAAACAGCCCGGGCGCCACGCTTACACTGAAACTTAGTCGCTTTACACGGAATGCCCCCCGGTGTGTTACTATAGTTTGCGCCTCCGCCGTTTACTCATCCACTGGTAACTGCTGGTAAGCTTGGGCGAGATCCAGTTTGCCAAAGATCTTTGCCCCGCCCAAGGTGGCCAGAACGTGGCTAACTACACGGACCGGGTAAGCGTGGTCCTGTAGTTCCTTGTTCAAAGTACATTTATAGTCCGCGCAGATGTGGACTGCCCCGTTGGGTTTATTAACCACGACTATGGGAGTCTCCCGCGCCACGTGGGAGACTGGCTCCAGGATGCCTTGTGCTACTAGGCGATCCAGTTCCGCGTCGATCTTGGGCTTTACCGACAACGGAACCGTCCTGGCTCGCATTCTTACGGGGGCCACCGAGGGGTCTAAGCACGTCACCGGGGGGCCCGTATACCGGCCCAGAGAATCATCGAAAATGGCGGGAAACTCGTGGCAGATTCCCTTGAAGTCCTGGGTCGTGCACGCCTGTACTCCTTCTACAGTGATGCCCAGGGGTTCAAACCAGGCCCGCCCCAGTAAGCTGACGAGGTCGCCTTCGACCACTATTAAGTCCAGGTTCCTTTTAAAGTTCTTAAACTGCACCCGGAAAGTTCCGACTCCTCTGACCGGCACTGGGTTGCGTTGGAAGTCCATAAGCATAATTTGGGCTGGGCGCAATCGGGGTCCCCCCCTTGGGACAGAGGCGTCTCAGGGTTGCCGCAGAGATTATGGAGGCCGCGGAACCTGAATCCACCTCCATCTTACAAGGGGATCCCTCTATCGTGACGGTGGCCATGAACTTGGGGGAGGGAGACTTGCCGGGGAGTTGCAATACCTTCTCCGCTGTCTGGGTGAGGAGGTAGAGGTCCTCGGTGCCGGTGTCCTCCTTGAAGTAGGTCTCCGCCTTAGGGCGAGCTGCTTTGGAGCGGCAGGCCTTTGTGATGTGGCCCGTGCGGCCGCAGTTGTGGCATGTGGCGTTGCGGAACCTGCAGGTTTTGCGGTCGTGCGGGTCCCCGCAGCTGGCACACACGGACGTGCTGGGAAGCTGGCAGCCGGTGCTCGGGTGCGGCACTTGAGTGCGGTGCGGTGCTTGGGTGCGTTGCGGTGCTTGAGTGCGCTGCGGCGTTTGAGTGCGCTGCCGGGCCCCTCCGTAGGCCTGGTGGACGTCCTGATCCTCGGGACCTTCCGGCTCGACCTGGTGAGTCGCGGCAGGGGCGGTGTGCAACCTCTCCCACGCGACAGCTGC